CAACTTTTTTGCTGTCCTGTTGCTTCCCAAGGCAGATGAACCATTTCCTGGTTTGGCACCCTCATTGCTTCCCTTGCTTGCTTTTTTTGCTGTGTTATTGCTTCCCGAGGAAGTTGAGCCATTGATTCCCTTGTCCAACTTGTTTCTTGCACCATTGCTTCCAAACCCTTTCCCAGGGCCTTTCAATTGTGCAGAACTTTGAGGTACTGGTATCTTCCCTTCTTTATCCATACCATTATTGCAGTTTTCAGGAATCGTTTCCTCAGTAACATCTATTATCTGACTATTATCATTACCACTTCCCGTTCCCTCGACTGGTTTTTCATCATTTCCACTACTATGTTTCTCTCTTACATCATCAATGTTTTGAAATCCTTTAGGTTTCTCTTCAGGTTTAGTCAAATGACTTCTAAATTTATGCTTCATCTTAAACAATAACATACTATCTTCTTCTTTACCATTCAAAGCCTTATTTTTCTCCTCCTTCCCAGACCCCTCTGATTTATTTAAAAAATTTACATTCAGCGAAGGTGCTGGATATTTTTTCTTCAACTTACTTAACCGTACATCAACTTCCTTCACAATACCACTATTGATCTTAGAATCTTTACTCTCAAAATCCTCAATATCATCGTCATCATCACTCACATCATCTAAATCTGCTTCTCCATTCTCTACCTTCTTCCTCTTTTCAGCCTCTCTTACCTCCCACGCCATCTTTCTAATTTCAGAAATCTTTGCTTCCATTTCTGACTCATCCACGTCCAAACCAGCCCAATCCTTCAGAAAAGTATTCCCATTAATTCCCACTTCCCCTTCTCGCATCCCCAGCCTAAGCTCCTTTTTCCTATCCCCAACTACCAAATTCCCATTATTCTCATCAGACTTATTAGAACCCATTACCCAAACAGCAACAACCGTCTGTAAAACGAATAAACCCACAAATGAACCAACAATCTTAACAATGGTACTGCCTGAAATTCCACCAAAACCCACCAAATTTGGAGCCTCTGAATCCCTAACAACTTCTAGTTGACTCAAACCAGATTCATTCTCTGATTCTTCGACAAAGCTAGAACCCGATTGTTCCTTAGTGGAATCCAAAGGAACCTCAACATTTGGTTCAATTGGCTGAATGGGTGCTTCTATATGATCATCCAAAGGAATATTGTAGGGTTTAGTAAGGGTTTTAAGGATCTTAGGGCGCAAGTAGTTTTTCCTCTTAGCACGCCTCAAAGACGAAGAGGGTACACGAATCGAGCATCGAATTATCGTTTGTCTAGGTGATTTGTGAGCCTTGTATGAGACAAAGGTGGCAAAGGGATAAGGCAAACTCGCCAATGCCACCATTTATCCCACTCAAAAATCAACTTAATCAATCTTATCCTTCTATTTCAATGAAAAGTCCAATATAATTCTCAATATTCAATCAAATTAAACAACCAGCAAACAATTGAATACTTACTATATTGCTACTTTCATTAAATTGACAATAATAACTCAATCAAACAAAATTGAAGAACCCTAATCCCCCATTATTAAAAAAAAAAAAAAAAGAAAAAAAAAACCCAAAACAGCAAATCATCAACCTAAAATTCCCAAATGTTAAAGACAGTAAATTCCTCTTTTTTCATAAAATTAGCAATTAAATTAGGCCAAAGTAACAACATACAGAACTGAAAGAGATGGAAATCCGTTGAAATTTCTCAGCAACAAAAGCTTATATTCGATACCAGGGTGGTGAATTTGGAAGCAAAGGTGAACTCGGCAGCGTCGTCTACTTCAGAAGACCACAGCACAGGTAGAGTGAAAAGGAGAGGAGGAAGAAAGATGCATAGGAAATTGCATTATTTGAATGGGCTTATCCCCAAATTGGGGTTTTCAATTCAGAAATTTGGAGTTGGGGTTTGTTCTCTTACTTCGAAATTCAGATCAGGTTAGGTCAGGTCAGGTCAGGTCGGTTCAATTCAGCTCACTTCAGTTCAGCTTCTAATTTTCTTCTCTTATAAAATATTCAGTTCAGTTCAGTTCAGCTTCTAATTTCCTCCTCTTATAAAATATTCAGTTCTATTCAGATCAGCTCAATTCAGTTCAGTTCAGTTTAGTTCAGTTCAGTTTAGTTCAGCTCAGTTCAGTTCAGCTGAGTTCAGTCAATGAGAACAGACCCTTAGCCCCTCAATTACATATTTAAAAAGTTTATAATGAGACGAATCTAACAAAATTTATTTTGATAATGTTTTTAATTATTACTCCGTAAATTAGATCATACCAAATTAGATAATAAAAATTCTTATCAGACCTTATTAAAAATCAAACCAAATCTCCTTATTTCAGGTGAACAAAACAAGTCCTAACCTTAATTCTACCATTTTGGTGAGGTTAATGTTTGACCTGTTTTGAATTTTTAAAGAACACCATATTTCATTAATTAAAGTCATACGACATTCACGATTAACAATTGACGATAATGAAAATATATATAACAAAATCAAACAAAAATTAATCGGTTTGATCTGTGTTTGAATATTTTTCTGATTTAACCTTAATTATTTTATGATAAAGACTAGTATTATTTTTATTTTTTTTCTAACAAGAAGTTCATTGAACGAAGAGCAAATTACAATCTTAAGGGCTACTATCAACATACACACAAACATGAAAAGAAAACCTTTATGAACCTTAGTTGAGGCACCACATCTAAACAAACCCATAAACAACCAAGGCATGGAGTCGTGATAAAGACCACTAATTGCATAACGCCATTGACTTTGGAGCCTGAAAAACCAAAAGAAACTAATTGGAACTTTATTGTGGACTAAGAATTGCCAAATTAACCGAAAAAATCGAGATGGACCGAGTGAAGAAAACTAAAACTTGAAAAAAAATAATTCGAAAAGGGAAGTTGTAGAGACTACCACCAACTGAAAGAATGCACCGTGTTGTAGAAAAATAGACTATTTTGGTCAATCAAGATATTGACTGGACTTGCTTCATTTCTTAGCTAGCGCGCGGTCGAAACGAAGTTTTTAGCAACAAAAATAAAAGATTTTTAGCAACTAAGTTTGGCAACAAATTTTTAAAATGTTGTTAAATAGCAACAAAAATAATTTTTTTCATTGCCTAATTAATTAAAAGCGACATTTTATGCTTTACTTTTTAATAATTAATGGCTACTTGTTTTTGATTTATTGTTCTTTAAAACAAATTGTCTTACTAGTTGTTATTAGGTGACATCATATTTTTGTATTGTTGCCATATATATAGCAACAAACTATGACAACTTATATTTTATTTGTATTGATTTAGAAACAAATAAAGTCAATGAATTTTTGAATTGTTGCCATCAGAAATAACTCATCTAAACTATTGTTGCTAGATGATAACGTATTTTTTATTTGTTGCCATTTACTAATTTCAATAAATGACAACGGAATTTTTATTTGTTGTCATTGGAGATATTCTTCTTATTATTTGTTGCTATAATGACATCAAATTGTAGAAGTAGTTTATTGTCATCGGAAACAAGTGTTACGGTTTGTTATCAATTTATGTAAGCCACTTTTATATTTGTTGCCATTGGAAATTCTCTTCTTAGGGTCTGTTCTGTTCCCCTTATTTTCACTTATTTCAGGTGTAACAAGTTCAGATAAGTTCAGTTAAGTTCAGATCAGGTTTAATAAGTTCTGATAAGGGTTATCCAAGTACAAATCAATTAACCTATACTAAAAGCGAATCTAAAATGACACTTGTCACAATCTCATTAACAATTTTCCCGCCCATTTTACTTTCTGTTTTTACGCAGAATCTTTAAGGAAATCATTTTATAATAATTTAAAATATCTTTTTTCCAATTAAAATTCTTAACAATAATAATTCTCCATATAAACCCAACTAGTATATTTTTACATATAAGTAGTCTTTTATTTGGTATTATTTTTGTAAAAAAAAATGAGGTAATTATTATTAAACAATACTGCTATATATATATATATATATATATATATATATATATATATATATATATATATATATATATATATATATATATATATATAGGGGGAGGCTCTCGTGAGAATTTTTCTTATGTGAGAATTTTTTTTATGTGAGAACACTCTTTATGTTCTAAATTTTAAATATGATGTTCTAAACTTTTCCTTAGGTGTTCTAAATTAAATCAAATGTTCTAATTTAGTATTTACATGTTCTAAACCATAAATTAGTTAAGTTTAATATCATAAATTTTAAATAACTTGTTACAAAATTTTAACTTATATGTTCTAAATTTTAAAATGTGTGTTCTAAGATTTTTAATTATATGTTCCAGATTTTAAAGCGTATGTTCTATATTTTTACTCATATGTTCTAAATTTTTAACTCACACTTTCTATATTCTATATTTGTTTGTTCTAAATTTTTATTCACATGTTCATAATCTTAAATCAAATGTTCTAAATTTTACTCATATGTTTAAAATTTCATAAAGCAGATTTTATAAAATTTTAATCACTTGTTCTAATTCTTAAATCAAATGTTCTAAACATATTACTCACTTAGATGTTTCAAATTATTACTCAGATGTTCTAAATTTTAATTTCAGACGCATGTTCTAAATTTTTACTCGTATGTTCTAAACTTTTACTCACATGTTCTAAATTTAAAATCAGTTCTCATATAAGTATGAATTCTCACATATGAACCTATTCTCACCGGATCCCTCCCCTATATATACACTTTATTTTCTACTCTTAAAATTCGTATCAATACTAACGCAGCATGTGCGGGTACTATCCTTAGAATTTTTTTACAAAAAATAAAAACTGTAAAGTCCTTTTTTTTTTTTAATCAAGTTTAAGTGTCACTAATCTTAACATTGATAGAGTTGCTTATATTTATTTTTGAATTAGTATTATGAGTTTAATTTTATTTTTTTATTTATTTTTTATTTTCTTTTTTATAAAATTCAATACAACAACTCTTTATAAAATTTAATAATAATCCTGCATTGCACGGGACTTAAACTAGTTACAAATAAAATAAGTTTTAACAAGGTCTAATAATGTTTAGAAGTGAAAATAGAGAAGAATTTCAATTCCATCTCTAATTTAGATACTGACTTGCCGTTTGGTGTGTTTTGGACCAAACTCTAACATCCCTAATCTTTAGCGTTCTTCTGTAAACGACCCAGAAGATCAATTGAGGAAGAGTGAAGAGTGAAGAGTGAGGAGTGAGATTGATGGAGAAATTGAGAATGGGGGATTGCAAAATCATGAAATATTATTCCAGAAAACGACCCAAAAGATCAATTGAGGAAGAAGAAGACAGATTGAGTTCACTTCCAGACGCCATTCTCACCGACATCCTTTCTCGCCTCTCCATTGATACCGCCGCCAAGACCTCCGTCTTATCCCACCATTGGCGCCGCCTTTGGACTGGCGTGACCCGCGTTGATCTCTATGTTTGCAATCAGTCAGATTCCACGGCCAAAATCAGCTACATCCTACGCCAGCTTACTTGTCGGAAACTCCGACACTTTGGTCTCACTCTCGAAGATCTGGAAGAGGGGTCCAATCCTTCTGCAATTTGTGTATCAGAATTAGAATCATGGTTCCACCAAGTTTTCAGCCGAAATGTGGAAAACATCAGTGTAAATGCAGAGTATGATGTTCCCTTGTTATTACCCGCTTTTCTGTTCAATTCTCAATCTTTGGTAACTTTGTCTATACTGGGTGTGCTTAAATTGCCCAAAATTAAAGATTTGTGTGTTAATCTCCCTAATTTGAACAAGCTTACCCTAGACGAGCTTGATAATTTCCCTCTTTGTTTGGAGAATTTAATTAAGTCTTGCTCACTTTTGGAACATTTGGATTTAGTCTTCGATCTAGATTTGTCTAGTCATGTTGTGAATATAATTGCTTCTAACTTGAAGTCATTGTCTATAAGTAATTTAAGTATGCTAAACAATACCCGAAAAACTAGAGTATATATTGATGCTCCTAAATTGGCAAAGCTCAAAATTCAAGATTGGAGTTCAATCTACTACTTTCTTCAGAATCCATCTATATTAGTCAAGGCCTGTATTCAGTTGGAGAATGATGGGGGGTATGATGGGCTGGAATTGGATGGTGAGCAGGATTACGGCGCATTATCTGGACCACGAAAAGAATATATTTGCCAGATGACCAAGTTTTTCGGAGGATTATCTAGTGTTAGCAAACTTGAGCTGAAGCTAGAGAGTTGGACCAATATTTTGAGATACTTTAATTGTCTGAATCTGCCGATATTTTCAAATTTAACCTGGCTTCAAACAAATTGCTTTAAGGATTTGCTGATATCTTTGAATTATTTTCCCAACTTAGAGCATCTTGAGGTCGACTTATGGTTACTTGATGATAAAATGGAGCAAAGGAGATGGTGTGCACCGGATTTTATTCCAGATTGCTTAGTAAGTAAGCTCGAGACTATACACATAAGTACAGTGGGCATTGATGATGACCTCAGGCTTCTAGCATACATTCTGAGTAATGCAATTGTTTTGAAAAAGCTTCTTGTAGATTTTAGTACAGTGGATGGGGCATATGTTGAAAATGAACGTGATAAAGCATATGCAGTGTGGAAGGAATGTCAGTTATGTAGGTCATTGTTAAACCTTCCAAGGAGCTCCTCGACGTGTGAGGTTGTGGTTTCTGGTAGGTTAGTCGCAGCATCAGGGAATGCCGTACAAGGCGAATTCCTTACATGTCAAATGTATTTGGGTAAATATACCTGACAGATGCAACTTGTTTTCCAATGCAATATTCTAGCTGATGGGTTGCAGACTTGCAGGTATGACTATTGACTACTAAGTTCTGATTGATTTTTGGTTTATGCATAATTACATGTAATTTTGGTTTAGGCATAAAAATGTTTCTAGAAATGCTGGATATGTATCAGGGTATCGTAGCCTTGCAATGTATTTTACTCTTTCCTATAAACTTTATATGATATATTCAAGTTCGTTTACTTCTCTATATATGGCTATGTACGGTAAATCTTTCATTTATTAATGCCTTAGTGTATGTAGCATGAGCTCTGAAGTACGTCTATAAATGTAAGGATATAATCCAAAGGCTCACTAGTGTATCAATAGATTAAGAAGCTTAAATTCCGAAGCTGTTCTAAGCTGATTTTATGACTATCTTTCCCTATACGTCAACATGTATAGCTGACTAATGAGAACAGGGTTCTTCACAACTTGTGATCTATTTGTAAATATTAAATAGAAAAGTATGGCAGAAGATCAAAGTAAGAAACTGCTAGATATGTTTATCTGTATAGAATCTATAGATATTTGACATCTTATATGGGGTGGGGATTTTTTTTTATACATGACGATTTCTGAGGAGAGGACAATGCTGAAGCTGAATTTACTGGTGATGGGAGTCTAGGAAACCTGTATATTCCCTTTCTGTTTAGAATGCTATAGTTAGGCAGCTTCTCTTTGTGCTTAAACCGTCAAACTCAGCTTCTTTCTACTTTATTATTTATTTTTCTATTTGTTTATGTTAAATACAATGTAGAATGGTCAGTAGATATTAAAATAAGGTACTAGGGATCAAATATGACCATGATACAGCACCTCTTCAGAAAAATTGTTCAGTCTACTTCCTTCTGGAAACTAAATTGCAGGTGAAGAAGTTAGAAGTTAGGTATATACAGCACATCTTCAGAAAAATGTTCGGTTAGTTTAATACTAAGCTTTGCTAAGCACATTATTGCACATCTGCACAATTAGGAATAACCAGAGCCTCATTCATTTGTGCCATTCTCATACTCTGAAGCATTGCCAAATCGCCATAAGTATGATGTGAAGATTGTGAACCGAACCATCACTGGCTAGTATGATAATATCCAATTATAAAGAAGAAAACTATTTACTAGGGAGGTTCAGTGCTGGGACTGGTATGTTTCTTGAACTACCAGCAGTTGCATCTGCTCTGGCTTCTCTATTTACTAGTCTGTAGCTTTGATTGGGCCTGTTAATGGACCTCATGATTTCTTGATATATCTATTGAGCAGAGAAATTGGTGTGCTCCTAATCTTGCACCAGATTGTTTGATAAGTAAGCTTGAGACAATAGCAATAAAGGGACTTAAGGGGATTGGTGATAACCTCAGTGTCTCAGCCTGCTAGCGTATATTATGTGTAATGCAATTGTTTTAAAAATTTTAGCTAAGATCAGTTAGATGTCCTTATGAATGTCTGGGATTTTACTAATAATGAACTTGAAACAGCATATGCACGGTGGATGAAAATGTCGCTTTTGTAGGTCATTGTTTAAGCTTTCAAGGAGAACCTCTGCTTGTGAGGTTTTGTGGTTTCAGGTAGGTCTGTCACAGCGTCAGGTAATGCCTTAAGTAACGGATACCATGCCAAGTATAAGTGGGTCGATAGACTTGATGCATGCAACTTTTTGTATCACAAATGTCAGCTTTCAAGTACAGGGCTTACAGGTATTGGCTTAAGAATGCTTCCTCCGTAAGTGTTATCGAGCCACTATGAAATTCAACGGTTCAATTTATAAATTTACAAACACTCAAGCAGCAAACACTAGGAAAAATTATACTCGGTTGACGGGTTTGATCTCATTTAAGTTGGAAGTTAAATGAGTAAACAGCCCGAGCTTATTATATTGTTGTGTACGTGCATGATATCCATGAAGCTATCAACAGGCAGGTATGGCAAGATAATCCATGTATTGTGTACGTACATACAGGCCTTGTTTGGCAAATGGCTGTTGGCGGTTGGCTGGTTCACTTGGCTTGTTTGACCAGGTGGAATGTTTGGCTGTTTATAATGGTTTTTGAAATTGGCTGTTTACAAAAGTGTTTGGTAAATTAATTGGTGGTTGTTGGCTGTTTATTAGATAATTTGTGGGCCAACAAGCCAAAAGCCAACAAAAAAGCTACTCAAAGCAGTTTTTTCATTTTGGCTTAAAAGCCAGCTTTTTCGCTGACTAAAAAGCCAATTACCAAACACATTTTTTGTCTGTTTGACCACCTTAAAAAGCCAAAAACCAAAAGCTAACTAAAAAGCCATTAAAAAGCCAATTACCAAACATGGCCACAGAGGCAACAGAGCAACATATATGACTATAATTTATTAACATCTATTTGTTAGCTGTATGCTTTATATTATGTTGATATTATTACATGACAATGTTACAATATAAGAGCAGCTTTGGATTATACGGAGTATTAATCTTAGTCCACACAAAAACAAAACAATGATTTTCCTGTGCTAAAAGCAGGATTAAAGGACTCTAACCCTACTTTATATCCATAACCAATGTAAATGCACCCATCACTCACTGATACACCTTCATAGATGGTAGCTCCAGTATCATATGACCATAAAATATGATTATGAAAAGAAAAAAAAAATCAAACAGAGTATCGAATAATTTGGACAAAAATTAACGATGAAAGTCAGTGATATTCATAAAAAATTACCTTTAATTGGGAAAATCCTTTTTATTTTTCATTATTCTCTGATTATTTTATTTTGTTATTATGACTTTATTTTTATTTTTTTGCTTTTGAAAATTAATGAGAGGTAAAACCTTTTTTATTATTTTTTTTAATTTAAAAAAAAAATGAAAACCAAAATATGGCGGTTGGGAGTGGGTTGTGTTTCGGAAGTGAGGGTTTGAGATGGGTCATATTTTTGTTTTGGGCGAATTTTACAACTGGACTTCTTTATTGGGCTAGTGGTGCATGTATAATAGCGGCACAAGGGTGTAGCTAGGGGTGGCAAAACCCGACCCGACCCGAAAACCCGACCCGAACCCGACCCGAAAATAGCGGGTTAGGGTTGAGAATTTCGACACGAAAACTTAAATGGGTTGACACGAACCCGACCCGAAATTAAATGGGTTAGGTTAAGGTTGAAAATTTCAACCCGAAAATGACCCACGTAACCCGAAATTATTTTCGGGTCAAAATCAGGTCGGGTCAACCCAAACCCGACCTTATAGCCCGAAAAAGTGTTTTAAAAAAAAAAAAAACTAGGCCCAAGCCCAAATTGAGAGGCAAACCTCTGAAAACTTAAACCCTAAAATTTTAACCTCAGCCGTTTTCATCTTTTCACATTTTCTCTCTCCTCAATTCTTTCGTTCTCCCACTCCTCTTCTTCTGAGCTTCTCTCTCTGAATTCTCCATTCTCAATTTCTCATCTCATAACTCTCAAGCTCTCAATTTCTCAAGCACAGTCATAAGAACTCTCAAGTTCTCAACTCTCAAGCTGATTAGCAAAACGTCTCACGGTCTCAAACTCTCAAAGGTAATTTTTTGTTAATTTTTTTGTTTTCATTTCGTTTTTTTTCGATTCCTAAGTTCTGAAGTTCTTCTCGATTTTTGCTTTCGATTTGTTGTTAATTTCTACTGTTAATTTGTTTTCGATTTTTGCTTTCGATTTGTTGTTAAGTTCTTCTCGATTTTTGCTTTCGATTTGTGGTTCTTCTTGATTTTTGCTTTCGATTTTTGTTTTCGATTTTTGCTTTCGATTTTTGCTTTCTACTGTTAATTTGTTTTCGATTTTTGCTTTCGATTTGTTGTTAATTTCTACTGTTAATTTGCTTTCGATTTTTACTCTTAAGTTCTTCTCGATTTTTGCTTTCGATCTCTAAAATCTGAAGTTCTTCTCGATTTTTGCTTTCGATTTGTTGCTTTCGATTTGTTGCTTTCGATTTGTTGTTAATTTCTACAGTTGATTTGTTTTTTTTTTTAAGGGAAAGGGTAGATCTGCAATTCTCCATCTTCAAATCTTTCACCTTCATCTTCAAATCTTCCTCTGCTTCTAAGGTAATTTTCTGTTTACTTTTTCGTTGTTTTTTTTTTAAAAGTTTTTTTTATTTCAAGTTTTTGTATTCGATTGTGTTGATGTTCTTAGTTAATAATCGTAGTATGATAAATTTTTTGCTGATTTGTTGTTTGACGGGAAAAAATATTGTGCTTGTCTTTTTAATTTTTGTTTTCGCTGATTTGTTGTTCTTGATATGCTGATTTGTTGTTGATTTCTTGAAAATTTTTGTTGCTTTCTTACTGATTGTTCTTGCTGTTTTGGTTGTTTTTCCTGAGATGTTGATGATTTGTTGTTCTTGCTGATTTGGTTGTTCTTGAGTTGTCTTTTTAATTGTTTTATTGTTATATTTTTTTTGCAGCAGTTATGGACACCCATGAGGCCATGACCCATGTACAACAGCTTTCTTCTGGGAATATGAGATGATTCAGGAGATTGTTACTTTAAATACATTTGTTTCTTTGTAATTGTGGTTTGTAATTTATTTGTTAAGACTTTATTTTGGTATGTAATAGTTAATTAGGCATTTAGAATTTTAGACTTGTTAGAGTGCTAGACTTTATTTGGTTTTCTTGAAATTTAAGTTTGAAAATCATGTTTGAAAACATTAGGTAAAAAAAAATCAGGTTTGATTAACTGTTAAGTAGTCAAAAACTCAAAATCAGGCTAAAAAATCAGGTTATTCAGGTCAAAATTTTTTTTTTAAAAAAAATAAATAAATAATCAGGTCAAATCAGGTCGTTTTCGGGTTGACCCGAACCCGAAAATATCAGGTTCAGGTTGGGGTTTTCAACCCGAAAACTTAAATGGATCAGGTTCAGGTTGGGGGTTAGCTGACCCGAAACACGAAAACCCGAACACGAACCCGACCTGATCTGATCCGTTTGCCACCCCTAGGTGTAGCTTAAACCAATTACTCTTAAATAAATGCTTAAGCACACCTTATTCGACCCCAACTTGAACCTGACCAGAACTAAATCTTAGGTACGAAATGTTCATTTTTAGCCTTGGTCCGGTCCGACCTGGCTCATGATCAAATAAATATTCTTATGCCCACAGCCCACTTGATTTGGACAATTTTGGTCACTGGACTAGCTTCCTTTCTTTGCCTTCTTCTGTAACCTCCGGCACCTAAAAAGAAAACACAGAGAGTCAGAGTGAGAGTGATGGAAAAATTGAGAAGGGGTGATTGCAAAATCATGAAATACTATGTTAGAAAACGACCCAGAAGATCAATTGAGGAAGAAGAACAAGACAGGTTGAGTTCACTTCCAGACGCCATTCTCACCGACATTCTCTCCCGCCTTTCAATCCATTCCGCCGCCACCACCTCCGTCTTATCCCACCATTGGCGCCGCCTCTGGACCACCGTCACCCGCGTTGATCTCAAAGTTTACAATCGACCACAATCCACGGCCAAAATCAGCTACATCCTACGCCAGCTTACTTGTCGGAAACTCCGCCACTTTTGTCTCACTCTCGAAGAATCGGAAGAGGGGTTCAATTCTTCTGCAATTTGTGTATCAGAATCAGATTCATGGTTACACCAAGTTTGCAGCCGAAATGCTGAAAATATCAGTGTAAATGCAGGGTATGATGTTTCCTTTTCATTACCCGCTTTTCTGTTCAATTCTCAATCTTTGGTAACTTTGGAATTACTGGGTTTGCTTGAATTTCCCAAAATTAAAGGTTTGTGTGTTAATCTCCCTAATTTGAACAAGCTTTCTCTAGACCAGCTTGATGATGTCCCTCTTTGTTTGGAGACTTTAATTGAGTCTTGTTCACTTTTGGAATATTTGGATTTAGTGTTCAATCTAAATATGTCTAGTCATGTTGTGAATATAATTGCTTCCAACTTGAAGTCGTTGTCTGTAAGAATGCTAGACAGTACTCGGGCCACTACAGTATATATTGATGCACCCAAATTGGTAAACCTTAACATTGAAGATTGGTGTTCAATGTATTACTTTCTCCGGAATCCATCTACATTAGTTAAAGCGTGTATTGGATTGAAGAGTGTTGACGGGTATTTTATGGAATTAGAAGGTCAAGAGGAGGATGAGCAGGATTACGGGCTTACGGCTCATTATCTGGACCACGAAAAAAATATATTCGCGAGATGACCAAGTTTGTTGGAGGATTATCTAGTGTTACCAATCTTGAGCTGAAGCTAGATAGTTGGACCAATGTTTTGAGATATTTTAATCTGCCAATCTTCTCAAATTTAACCTGTCTTAAAACAAATTGCTTTAAGGATTTGCTCATTTCTTTAAATTGTTTTCCCAACTTAGAGCATCTTCAGGTCTGCTTAAAATTAAATGATGATAAAATGGAGAAAAGGAGTTGGTGTGCACCAGATCCAGTTCCAGATTGTATAGTAACTAAGCTAAAGACTATACTAATAACGGGACTAAAGGGCATTGATGATGAACTCAGGCTTCTAGCATACATTCTGAGTAATGCAATTGTTTTGGAAAAGCTTCTTGTACATATTTGTACAGTGGATGGGGCATATGTTGAAATGAACGTGAACAAGCGTATGCAGTGTGGAAGGAATGCCAGTTTTGTAGGTCATTGTTAAACCTTCCAAGGAGCTCCTCGACATGTATTTGGGTGAATATAACTGAAAGATGCAACTTGTTTTCCAATGCAACATTCTAGCTTATGGGTTGCAGACTTGCAGGTGTTGACTACTAAGTTCCGATTGATTTTTGGTTTATGCATAATTACAAGTAATTTTTGGTTTAGGCATAACAATGTTTCTAGAAATGCTGGATATGTATCAGGGTACCATAGCCTTGCAATGTATTTTACTCTTTTCTATTAAGTTCGTATGATTTATTCAAGTTCGTTTACTTCTCTATATGTGGCTATGCATGGTAGATCTTTCATTTATTAATGCCTTAGTGTATGTAGTATGAGCTCTGAAGTACGTCTATAAATGTAAGGAAATAATCCAAAAGCTCACTGGTGTATCAATAGATTAAGAAGCTTAAATTCCAAAGTTGTTCTAAGCTAATTTTATGACTATCATTTCCCTATATATTAATATTTATAGCTGACTAATGAGAACAGGGTTCTTCACAACTGATGATCGATTTGTAAATACTAGATAGAAAAATACGGCAGAAGATCAAAGTAAGAAACTGCTAGACATTTTTATCTGTATAGAATCTATAGATATTTGACATCTTATATGGAGTAAAGATTACTAAAAAAAGGTGGGGTGGCCGGGTGGGGATTTTTTTTTTACATAAAGAGTGCTGAAGTTGTATTCCCTCTGTGATGGAAGTTTAGGAAACCTGTATATTCCCTTTCTGTTTAGAATGCTAAAGTTGGCAGCTTCTCTTTGTGCTTAAACAGTCAAACTCAGATCTTTGCTAATATTCAATTATAAAGAAGAAAAATATTTACTAGGGAGGTTCAGTGCTGGAGTTTCTGTATTCAAGACTGGTATGTTTCTTGAACTACCAGCAGTTGCAACTGCTCTGGTTTCTCCATTCACTTGTCTGTAGCTTTGACTGGGCGTGTTAATGGACCCCATGATTTTCCTGATATAACTATTGATTAACTTGTCTGGTTTCTCCATTTTTTAGATTGCTTGATAAGTAAGCTTGAGACAATAGTAATTAAATGACTTAAGGGAGTTGGATAACCTCAGAGTCTCAGACTGCTAGCGTAAATTATGAGTAATGCAATTGTTTTAAAAAGCTTAGCTAAGATCAGTTAGATGTCCTTATGAATATCTGGGATTTTATAACCAATGATGAACTTGAAACAGCAGATGCACGGTGGATGATAATGTCGCTTCTGTAGGTCATTGTTCAAGCTTCCAAGGAGATCCTCTGCTTGTGAGGATTTGTGGTTTCAGGTAGGTAATGCCTTAAGTGACAGATACCATACCAAATGTTAGTGGGTCGATAGACTTGATATATGCAACTTTTTGGATCCCAATTCCCAAGTGCCAGCTTTCAAGTACGGGGCTTACAGGTATTGGTTTCTAAGTTCCTGTTGTTTTCTATGTATCATATAGTTTTGTTTGGGCTTAACAATGCTTCCTCTGTAAGTGTTATCGAGCCACTACGGAATTTAACAGTTCAGCTTATAAATTTACCCAAGCAGCAAATACTAGGAAAAATTATATACTTGGATGACGGGTTTGATCTCATCTTAGTTGGAAGTTAAATTAGCAAGCAGTCTGAGCTTATTATATTGTTGTGTACATGTCATGATATTCATGAAGCTATCAATAGGCAGGTATGGCAAGATAATCAATGTATTGTGTACTTACATACAGAGGCAACAGAGCAACATATTTGACTATTATTAGCAACATCCATTTGTTAGTTGTATGCTTTATATTATGTTGATATTATTACATGACAATGTTATCATATAAGTGCAACTTTTGATTATATTAATCTTAGTCCACACAAAAACAAAACAATGATTTTCCTGTGCTAAAAGCAGGATTAAATGATCCTAACCCTACTTTATATCCATGACCAACGTAAATGCACCCATCACTCACTGATACACCTCCATAGATGGTAGCTCCCGTATCATATGACCATAAAATATTACCAACCTTTGCATCAATGGCATAAATAGGTCCTGTTACGTTATTGGTTGATCCCGCAAAAACCACCCCATTAGCCACCGTGACAGGGCCTTGTGTGGAGGCATTGCTAGGGTTCCCTAAAGACCATAACACCTTACCAGTTGAAGCTTCCATTGCCACCCATCCACCTGCGGTAGTGCTTTTGTTAGAAGGACTAAGGATGAAATTCTGTTGATCGGTGTTGGCTATGTTGGTGTATACTCTTTTTCCGTCTGTGGCTGATCCCCAAATACCACCTCCTCCCAATCCTCCTGGTCCAGCTTCCTACATTATTTTGACGACACACATATCAATGCACAACTTTGACCATTAATATATTTTATATTCTAGTAGTAAAAAAAAAAAAAAAAAAAAAAAAAGTTGATAATATGAAAATATATATTGTGACTAATCCAATAACATGTTACAAGATTAGTATACGAATAATGCATAAGTTAAAATGATGCACTTAAAAAAATCACAAAGTAGTAAAGTAATCATACCGTACTCCAAACTAGGTCCCCAGTATCCCTATCAAGAGCCCAAGTGAACCCGCTTTTTTGAGTAGCAACTGCAATATCCTTCCTAGTAGAGTTAATCTTAACAGTAAGTAACATCGGTGCCTCACCAAAATCAGCATCAGGGTTAGGCCCTGGAGGACAATCAGGACTACTAGAGATATTATGACAAGCAAAGAACCAAACATCATATCCACCTATTTGGTGATACCATTTTATGTTTCCTGTGTCTAAATCCAAGGCCAAAAATGAATTAGAGTGATTTTCAGGCTCTACACACGACGTCGTGTTAGTAGGGAATGTTTGGTTGTTTTCTCTTTCCGAGCAATCTCTAATTCGTTGTGGGGCGGAGTAGAGGTTCCCGGTGGCTATGTACACAAGTTTTCTTGGTACGTCGATGGGTGGACTACTTCCCCAAATTGCTGCCCCGGCATACTCCCCTCGTTGTCCATTGTTATTAGGTAACATGTACGTTTTCCAGAGTATGACACCAGTTTTAGCGTCTATTTTAACAAAGCTACCACGAAAGTGGCAACATTCTTCTATGCTTCTTTCTTCTTCTAGTGATGATACCCCCACGTAAAAGGCCCTGAAATGGAGTAAAATTAAGGGTTTAAGGATTAGATTCATTGCCTCTTATATCACTAATTTACTACTTGTATTACAATTACACTTATTCTCCTTAGTCCTTACAAGTTACCATGCATTCGCTTAGACATACCCATACCCTTATACTCTCTTTAATATTTAAATGCCTCATTTTGACTTTGACGTTATTTTCAATTTTACATGCACAACTTTTGGCTACGAGTAATATTTTTTCTTTATACATAAGATTAAATATAGTGATGTGGGTCTTTCAAAAAAAAAAAAAATATATAGTGATGTGGGTATTTGGTAGAATTGAGGGAGCAATAAATAGCGATGGTCAAAGTAAAGTGGATGAATAATGTCAAAAGTAAAATTAAACCAAAATTAAATCTAGAGTGAGAATGAGATATTTAATTAGAGCATGTTATGTTCACCTTATTTTCACTTGTTTAAGATTTGATAATTTTTATTAAGTTCACTTTAAGAACAATAGGTTTTGGGACTTTTGGCTATTTTTTAAATTAAAATTACATCTTAAATAAGTTTTAATAAGGTGTAACAAATTCAGATAAAAAAATAAGTTTAGATTAGTAATAATCACGTGAATTGAACACGTCCTTATTTTAACTAAATACTACATACCTGTTGGAGTATGTCCCGGACATGGTAATAAGACTATCAATATGAGCGTCCAATTTAGTCATCCAAGCCAGTGAACCGTCGTTGATTCTTAGACCAAGCACATAACACGGTCCATAAAGGCCAACAATAAGTAAACCCAAGTCCGGAGCCACCGTAGGTGTTGCCCGAGCCACGGTCACATTCACATTAACAATTAAGCCCGTCGAAGGGATACCAGTGAGGTCTTGAATGAACTGCTTCCACACTAGGGAACCACTAGAAGCCTTAACTGCATATATATAGCCATCCCAACTAGGAAAGTATAAAATTCCATTATATATTGCTGGTGTTGCTGTTATATCATTTTGAGCCTCAAATATCCACTTTAGTTTCATATTTTGAACAGTTTTTGGACCAATCTTGGTCTCTTTTGAAGCATATCTCATGTTTTGTAGGTCACCTCCATGATTTGGCCAATTTTCCTATCATAATCAAGAATTAACAAGCATGATGATATGATTATGTTTGTATAGGAAGAATAATGTCATGATACATACACTCTTTGCCCTTTAAATAAAAAAAAAAATTAGGCTATACATGAACAATTGTAAAAGTCAAATGGATGAACTATCTTCTCCCCAAAATTTCATCCATCCCATCATAATTGGGCAGATAGTTAAAGGACAAATCTCGACCGACCAACCCACCTTTATCTCTACGTAAATTGGGGTGATGTAGTAGTAATGTGCACCTAAAATAACAAAACCGCTCTTAGTTTTTATACACTCCTCTAGCTAATATTGTTCGTGTATATAAATTTAAAATCTAAAGTATGCATTGCATGTATATAGATCTAGTTATAATCTAGTTAACCTGAATTCAGCCCGTACATTTAACTAAATTCAAAACACATAGTTGTATTGTCACATATACAAGAAAATACCCTTATATTCACCCTTCACCACCCCAATTTTTGTTTTTGTTTCTTATCTAGTTTTCACTTTTCTAACAGAAATAGTGCATTCCAAAATTAAATTATTTATGGCAAAATAAAAGAAATAAAGAAGAAAAAACATAAAAAGTAATAAAAGAAAATTGGTTAGAACTTACAAGGGAAGAATTTACAGTGACAAGAATCCATAAAAACGCAATAGGTAGGAGGAGGATAGAAGAAATGCTTAATCGTCTTGCCATTTTCAAATCAAATTAGACAAGTTTAATTATGAAATCATATGGAATTAATTAGATAATGTTACTGCCCCAATTTTATACTAGACATGAAATAATGATCAAACTTAATTTTAATTACTACGCAACGTTAAGCACTATGACTACTACCATTACGTATTATTTTAAGCTTGCTTCCTTCGAATTAGTCATTGCATATTTCGTAATCAACCATTTTAATTTTGTTGACTTTTAGACGGTTGTGACTTGCAAAGATCAATCATCATGTATAATATAAAATATGAAATGCGCTTATTACACCAAAAATATAAATAAAAAAAATTGTTGATGTTTGACACTAGGTTAGATTAATATCATGAAGTTTTTTTTTTTTTTTTTGAAAGAAGATTAATATTATAAGTTTACCAGCTTAATTATAAGTTTTAGTGGGTGTTTATGAGGATAACGTACACGAGAGGGGTGCAACAATCGGGCCTGCAGGTTCTACCCACGAATCTGCCCAGCAGGCTGCGAAGACCCACCAAGCAGAGGACTCCGCAGCCCAGCCGCGGGGAAGCACTCCCAGCCGCAGCCTTTGCATTAGGTAGATTTTTTTTTGTATACGTGGAAAAAGTCGAGGGACTACACGTGGCGAAGTTATTTTTCTTTGTGATTAATCTTGCTACTCAATAATATAATTTACTCTCTATCACATTAATCTACGTATGGAATCATGTTGCTAGCATATGATTTTTGAAATCCCAATAATATTTGACGAAAAAATTCCACTAATTAAATAAATACGTAAAACCCAAATCCTACTTAAACATCATTTGATACGAGTATGATGTTTCCCATAATTTATGCAAGTATAAATTTTGACTAATGCCATTTATGTAATAAATTAATAAATAATGATAATTAACAAGTCATTACTCATAACTCATAAGTGTAGGCTGGCCATTCTGACCATGACCCAAAATAAAGTAATACAATAGACTTGCTTGGCAAGACGTTAATGAAGCAACCTGCTAGAAATTTTTTATGTTATTTGAACAAAGCAATTGCAAGCACGGACAATAGATGATAATCTTAATATAGTATTTCCTCGTTCCCATAATATTAATTGAAACAAAGAGATGAGGCACAGATTTTAAGGCGAAAAGAGAGATAGAGAGAAATAAATATACGGAGTTTTGGAACCCATGTAATAAGGATAAATAGAGAGAAAACATGTGTAAATAATAGACTAATTGAGTAATGTTGCAATATTTGTGAAACTTTCTAAAATGATAATTGTTGCAACAATAAGGGAACAATGAAAGGAATATCGATCTAAAGTATAAGTATTATAATACTGTATATGCCTTGTTTTAAAAATTAATTAGTAAAGAAATACAACTACTATGTTTTAAAAACAAACAATATTTGACTTACTTGGTATGTGACTTATCTTAGGTCCTAGAGGTTTAATGTTCGAATTTCATCAAATGTGGGTATGTGGAGATACATGGAGAAAATTAGGAATGTCTTCTCATAAGAATGTGTGGTTATCTAAGAAATTATAATCAGAAAATTTATTATCAATTATAAGGTCGATATCTTGAGTCGGAGAAGAAAAACCGAGAGATGCAACATAATCTGCTACTTTATTTCATTCGCGAAAAAATATGTTGAGACTTGAATGATTCTAGAGCGAAAAATGATGGGGTCTTTTATGTATAAGAAGACAATCACGAAGTAGCATGGTGGAAGATTGATTTGAGCAGCAATGGTGCCTTGCAATTGACATTAACAAAAATGCCTTTGATATTAGAACAAGATCATAGGCTTTGCTTTAGGTAGATGAACATTGGCACCTTAAATGCTTTTTATAGAAGAAAAAAAAAGAGATAATATAGCACTTGCTACATGTCAGAAACTCCATTGCTACAAGGACATCCTCCGTTCGTTGCTCCTCAAATTGCTTGAGAACTCGACACTTTGATTGGATTCTATCGAAAGCACGAGTGCACGACTTTACTTTGGTCAAGCTAAGGTTTCCCATCATATGATCAATGTATCTATCAAAAGCACAGTTATACTTCCCTTGTTTATACAGTTAGTACTCTTATTTCAAAGAGTTAACAAGCACAATTGCTTTGTCCAAATTCTAAAGATTGTCAAGTATTTCATCTTAACACGAAGTATTTATCTTAAAACCATTTCAATCTTCAGAATGGTACAACCTATTCTTCACAAAACAGTCTGATCATCAAGAAAAACAAAATACAGAAAAAAAGGGAGCGAAAATTTGAGTATTTCAGCCCAGAATTTACAGAATGGTAACAACCATTATGAGCATTAAGAATAAGAGATTAGCAGCAACTTTTACAGAACCATAACTTGAACCAGACCCGGAACCTGAGCTACTGCTTGCCCCTGCACCTGGATCACTCTTGATCTGAACAATAAATCGACATGTCCCAGCAGACGGATCTTTTGTTGTGACAGCAGAGATACCACCAGGGAACTGACATGCCTTATCCTGCTGGTTTTGTTCCTGATAATACATATTAAACGCGTAAGATATATTCCCTGGTGCATCCAGATTGCTGCACGACGTTCCATACCCAAGGCTCGTACAATCAGCATGTCCACAGGCATAGCTCACACTCGAGACTACTTGAGGATCACTTATATTAGCTGTGGAAGACAAAACACACCATTTTTTGTCCAGATATTCTACCCCTTTTGCTGGAATCAGAGTCCCAGTCTTTGTCAATCCAAGGTTAAGCTGGTACTTTGGGGTCCCGTCATAGTTGAAGATCCCCCAATGCCTCTCAAAGTTTCCTGGTAGGATACTTTTGTTATCTTCGTCGATGAGGCTAAACAGGTAAACATCGATAGGACCACTGGGCCTCATAGGCGTACCTGTAACGAGTAAAACAATAACATTATGGACATGCACTAACATTATCCAATGAAAGTGTTGTTATAACAATATACTCTTGATATTACCTTTGCCTCCTGAGAGATGAGTAATTAACCCTTGATTGAACTTCCGAGCACTGGTAGGATTAGCATTCCTGTCTCCATCAGTAGGCCACCCAATCTCTCCTACTATGATTGTCATGTTAGAAAATCCATTCTTCTGAAGGGACCAAACGAGTGTGTCATAGTTAGCATCGAAAACATTGGTATATGTCTTTCCATTGTCATCCAAGGGAGATGAAAATCCATCAAAGAAGGCGTAGTCTACAGGGAAATTGGGGTCATTGTAGAGGCTTATGAAGGGATATATGTTTATGGTGACAGGACACGCATTGTCGTTCAAGAATTTGATAATTTTCAACATGAGATCACTGATGTCAGAACGAAAGTCCCCACCAGAAGGGACATTGGATGCAGTTTCATATACATCGGCATTTAGAGGGATAGTGACCTTCACTTGATTGGCTAGGCCAGCTTTTATTAGTGCTGATTGGATGTTCTGAAGCGCGGGAAGTGTCATGGCATCATAGGTTCCATTCAATGTCTTTAAAAATGGTTCATTGCCAACCGCAACATATCTGATGGAAAGTGAAGAAAAAAAAAACACACAAGAACAACAATGCTACAGCATTAGAAGTCTGAATAGAGCTCTAACCACATAAACCATTAAAAACATTTGTTAGTGCCCAAGTGTGGTATGAGAGATATATTACTGCATAAATTTTCATAATTTGAAGACGAAAAAAGATTCTAGATCACGATATAAGACAGGCTCATCATCAATTAGCTCTTTTTCACAAGAGACATCCTTTCTTTCTGATCTTGCACTCAAGGATCATGCATCCATGCTGATATTTTACAAAGTATAAGGTTTCAAAAGCTCAAAACAATTTGACAAACTTGGTAAATCGTAGAGTATCTAGTTTATTTCAAATGAACAAGATACAGTATATAATTGGAACAATTATATAGCAAGCATCAAACACCAAGAATACAGAATGATCGATATACATTCTTCTGCCCACGATTTCCTATTAAACAACCAAAAGCGACTAATTCTGTCACACACAACACAGTAAAACTCTTATTCCTACATCTGCCACTTTGTTACTCCAAAATCTCATTTTCAAAAAACAAAGAATGAAAGAAAGGAGATGTGTAGATAAATAAGTTCATCTCATTAGAAGTAGTTCCTTCATGATAAACATTGCAAGCTAGTGGAGGTGAAGAAAGGCGGTGCACCTGTCTCCTCTGCAGATGAGCCTCGTGGTTTCGGTTTCTGCTTTGGGGGCAGGCTAGCACAGCATTTGCATTTGAAACCGAAAACTTCAAATTTTCAAACTTCTTGGGGAGTATGGACCTAAAGGAGGGTTGGTATTGCTAGCACACTAATTAACTATAATTCCCTTAGGCCTTAGTCTAGAAGTCTTAAAGTCTAGCTTGCAAATATATATACATGCTTTGTCAATATATATGTCTACAATTCTACTACAAGGCAACAGCCAACAAATTAATAAGGCAAATTAGGCAATAACCCAAACTAGAAGAAAATCATTTGAATTGCTCAAACAGAAGAAACCGTACAAATTAACTAATGAAAAAGAAGAGAATAACTTCTCTCTTGATTGAAATTTTTTGAAACAGAAGTCAATCAACACTTGACCAGTACCTTTAATTTAACCAAAGTACCCTATTGTATAGACAGCCACAAATTTTTGGATAGTAGACATAATTTAATCTCAGGTCTTAAGTATTACCCCGAACTTTACCAACTACGACATACAAACAGTAGACATAAATTTAATGATCTTTACCAAACCATAAATCATCAATAATATAAAATCAATAGTAAAAAAATAATTAATAGTACCTGACATTAACTCCATGAGAAGAAACATAAGTGGACAAATTTTTGGCAACCCAATTTTCAGCAGCTTTCATATCACTTGACAAAGGAGCCAACAAATCATTTGGAATACCAATCATAACCTCAATTCCTGATTTTCCCAAAGCTTTTAAAGCATAAGGATCTGGCTCAAATAACTTCACCTTTGTAATTCCATTATCTTTTAACAATTGAACCAATATATTTCCTGGTAATGGATGTGTTGCTTGTGTTCCCAAATTTACCCCTATACTATTTCCACTTACACCCATCACCATTAAAATCAACCCCACC